CATATTGGTAAGAAGACTTAGAGGAACGCACCTAGTCCGGACTCCATTGTATGTATCATCACTTCCAGAGTATGACCGTGGACGTGGTACATTCCCAGATGTTTCACCAGCATCGTAGTCGGCATCGTCAGTAAGTCTCGCCATTCTTAGCACCATATTACAACTCGTCAAAGAGACAAGTGAGGCCCATCCTTTGATCAAACGTGTGCCAAACAGTTGTGGTATCTCCCCCTCTGCCCTGGGCTATTCACATGTCCTATATCCTCCTCCTATCTCCTTCTATTCGGGTGTAAACGTGCAAAGCTTTGGTCTTTCGTAAGACAAACATCACTAAAGCAGGGTATTATCCTTACAGCCATATTCAAGCTAACGAGTCAAGAAGACTGGTCAACCCAATTATATAGGGTTCTATGTTAGTCGGCATGCATAGCTTCCAGTTTAAGACGGATCTTTGTACTCATCCATGCGCCACATCAGAATGTCTTCGCCTCGCTTTTTTATGCAGTTTGGAATAAAATTTTACTTGTTTCCATTTTCATTTGGCCATGACCATGCTACAATTATCCTACCCTGTATTTTTTTGCATCTTAACTCTGTATTTATTATTTCGTCGATTTTCTTTATCTTTATCCCTTCCTTATTCTCTTCCTTATGTGCCATGTCTTTACTTCTCGCACTCCCACTATTTCCCATTTATTCTATATCTAGGTAGTGCCTTTGCCAGCGTCGCTGTGGAGGCTTCAGGTGGCAGTTTATTGGCCAGTGGCCATGAGGATGCCACAGTCTCGCTATTTGACCTCCGCACAGCACGCTACATCAACGCTTACCGACCGCACTCGGGCGAGTGCCGGTCTGTCCGATTTGCTCCTTCCGCTTACTACTTGCTCTCGGCCAGTTACGATCGCAAAGTTGTGCTAACTGATTTCCATGGTGAGGTTTTTTGTAATAATAAAGGAGTAAAATCCTTACTTACTATAGCTACAAGGCACGGAATTACGTAAGGATGGCATTGGGACGAAACTATTTACTAATCAAAGTTTGTTGATCTGTTTTATTTCCTAAGATTGTCTTGTTTTGACTGTTAATCCGTCCATCTTGAATGGGGAGATTTCTGATAAGGATGCATGTCTTGGTTTATTCTGTTAGTTTTTAGGAAATTCGTTTTGCCCGCCTCCAATGTGTTCGACAGGCAAACTCATACCTTTCGCTGTGCGTTTTTAAATAAAAGTAAACTTTTTCCGATGTAAAGGCTGAGATGGCGTGACCTTTTGAATCATTTATATATTTATCAGTTAGACGAACGTTCTCTTTCATATCAGCCCTGTGCCTAATCCTACTGAACAAATAAATTGTATTCTTGGATCGCAGATATGAAGACCCATATGGTGTTGCCTTCTGTTTGGTCGCAGTCTCCTTTAGCTTTATAATATTGGTTAGACCTCGTTTTCGCAACTTGGTCAGAGCCTCAGGAAGACATTGTGGAACGTACATATTCCTTTGTTCTAGCATCGGTACATTCCTAAACATTTCGCCGGCATCGTCGGCACAGAGTTACAATTTATCAAGGTGGTAAGTGAAGTGGTAGTTATTTATATATCGTGGCCTCGCATTTATTAGTATTAATTTCGAGATATCTTGACCCCCGGAGGCCTTTTGCAAGGACTTGCCACCAAACGTCGTTTAGGATGAGGATAGGCCGGGCATTAATTATACTCTCGTGATCAGGCACCGAAATCATATTTTTTCTCTCATCAGTATTTTGTGTACAACAGTTCGATTTACTTTAACTTTGATCGAGTCCAGTGTCAAGTAAAATTTTTTACTGAATCGCATTTTTCACAATGGTTGTCGCAAGGACTCCCACCATAGATTGATTGCTAGTCAACGCTTTTCGAAATGTACTAACCGTCTAGCGTTGGGATCCTTGTCATATCATCGAATTTAGAAAACTCAATGAATTACTTTTTTATTGTTGCTACATATAAACATTTTAGTCTATTTTTGTCCTTGTTAGTTTTTTAAGCTAATTCTCATGGGTTTGTCTTCCTCTTGGCATTTCACCAGTCCATATTCTGCAGAATATTCTACTTTCTTTCAGATAAGCATATTCATTATCAATATATCGACCTATCTTCTCGTTTCGACTTCATTCAGTTAATACGATTACTTTTACTCCTTACTAGTCTGTACTAGATGCAAATTTCTATGTGAATATCCTCAACCCCCCTGAAATAAACTTGCTTATA